GATAAAATGTTTGACTTTTTATTACCAAGCAACCACCAAATGTTTACAGCAGGAGTGCGAGGACAAAATTAACAAACATACTAAACTAAACCATATTCTAATTAGCAAAACATTTCATACTGACTGAAGTTCGTGACATGTTGCACTATGTAATTCCCAGCAGTAGATTATGACTCCCGATTTGTTCAAATTTTTACACTTCTCCATAAGCACATTTGAGATCAAAACTTTTATGGCTGGGGGTTCATGTGAATCATATTTTAGCAAAATTAGTTTTTCAAAAATCTGGAAAAGCTTATTATGCACATATGTATATTTAGAGTTCATATTTTTTCCATCTTTGTCACGTTATTTCTAACGCTTATCTATTTATGTGCGATGCTTGTTGAAAGACATGTAGTCTTCAAGTACAGAGGGTGGTCCAAGAAACTGTTGTATAAATCTTTCGTAATTTTTTAACCCGCATGCGGATCTTTACAGATTCGAAACTTGCTCGATGTGATGGTCCTTGTCCTGATTTTTAAGGACATGCCCTTAGGGACTTTTCTAGGGTGCATTTCTTTCAATTATTATTTTAAGCGTTCCAAAGTACGTCAAAATCCGCAAATTCTCAGAAAATTGTCATTCCACGAAAAAAATTTGAAATAATCCAATCGGTTAATGTCTGATGACTACTCAGGGATGTTTTGATCTTTTATGCCTGCAGAACCAAAATTATCATCGTCCGTTTTTGCGCACTGGTGAGATTAAACCGCAGTAAGCGGAAAAAAGGTCGCTTTCTCTCAATGCTGTAGGTCATTTTGTTATAATATTTCCCAAATAAATTTAAATTGTTATCTGGATAGTTTATTTATTGTAATCTCCAGGTTGGACGGTGCTGTTTTGGGATAAGGGATCTTGGTGGTTAATTAAGGATAAGGATAAGATTTATTCGATCCCTTTCGAAACTTTCTCGATAGACTGGGCGTGATTCCGTCGGCAGGAAGAACGTGATTATTATGACCGTTCAGGTCGAACAGCAGGACAGGGCCTTTGGAGCGTCCCTCGCGGCCCCTGTTGGGGGAGTGGCTGGAAGGGCGTCCCCTGACCCGGCCACTTACCCGTCGTTGCAGCGTAGATGCAGGTCGCGAACAGCCAATTTTACGGGGCCGTACTCCGTGTTTGATGACACAGCTACGTGTTTGTCGTTTCACTTTTGCAGATTTTACACCCCAGTTAACTTTTTCACAATTACGAGTAGTTAAACGGTAAAAAATGCGATCAATGACGATGTCAATTTCCCTGTAATACAGTTTTAACGCATCACGCAACGCGTTGTCCAGTGCAATTTTGAGTTCCATAATTAGATACGTTATTGTTTGCAACTTAATCTTCAGTTGCTCTGAGTAACTTTCAGACGAGATGCAATGTAAGAAACTAAACTCTGTTTCATTTCTGGTGATATCAGCGGGAAAGTCATGTGCCCATTTACTTAACATGGGCACGTGACTTTCCCGCTGATATCACCAGAAATGAAACAGAGTTTACAAGTGAGAGCGAGCAGAGGGCCAGTCTGCTCTGCTCCGAGTCTCAAACGCGTCTTCTTGGTGGTTAATTAAGTCAGGTTAACCAAATTTTAAGCTTTTTCAGTCATTTAGCATTGGGTAGTTTCTCAGTGGTGACAGTGATGTTAAACGCAAAGAATGACCTTGAACATGTCTACGAGGCATCGTCCTATAAATTAATTGCCAATTCTTTCCACAATAAGATAATTTCAGCTTCTTTGATAACGTTTCCAGTGGAAAATGGACTGGAACAGCCTTTCACTAGTACCTCTCCTTCATCGTGGGGGCATTTTTCAAATTAGGTTTACAAAAAAAGTCACAAAACTAGTCTTTAAGGTGGTATAGTATGCGGGTTTTGAGTTTGAATTGTTGCGTCTCAACTTTCCCTTCTTCCATATATTCAAATGGCGATTTTGAAACGTGTTCATCTCCGCTAGTTTTTCACAATATGAAGATTTTAATGCACCAAAAAATCGATAATGTTTAGCTTTACAAAGTTAGGCTGGTGTGATTTTGATTTAATTCTTCCATGGGAAAATATTTAAGTTTTGCTGATTATTTTTTATTAATTAGTTTATTTTTATGAACTATTTTATATTAATTTCCTAATATAAATTCACATTTTAAAAAATTAATGAAGAATGAACAACCTTTCTTGAATTTTTGAATTTTTGAATTAGATAAATCTCGAATGAAGAAACATTTTTTGAATAGGGGAACAATCCATGGGTGAAGGAAAGATAAAAATTTCTCTAAATTGAATCAGAATCCAGGGAGTACAGAAAATCAAAGAAATCGATAGGGCCTTTATCTCCGCTGTTCCCGTAACCGTCATAACTCCCGCCAGAGTTGGAACCCCAATCGTCGTAGTACTGTCGCACCGTTTTGGAGTGGGCTTCGCTCAACAGAGTAAAAAGAACAAAGACCATCAAGACACAGGGTAGGAAAATTTTCTGAAAATATTAAATACACGCAATTAGAATTACCTTTATCATATGTACCTGTACCTAGTACTGCCATAAGTTTTGACCACTACTCAAATAAATCTAGCGGACTCAGTTTTTTGAATTTTGAAAAAATAGCGATATCACGAGAAAGCCCATTAAATTCCCTACAGAATACACCGAGCACTTTTCCAAATTTCCTCTTTTCGAAGCTACAAGAGCCCAAAGTTTAGGTACCCATATCTCACTCGCGGTACGCACTCATTTCAAGGAATATTTGTCTCATTTCTAAGCGATGGATTTTTTCTCGGAATCAAATCTTATGTGGCGTTTAGCACATGTATCTAGCTTCGGTTTAGACCACATGTCATATTCCAGAAGGTTGAGGTCCGGCGACAGTGAATTCTGTTCTTGGTCCGAAATGGAGTCAGAAATTTTGGAATTCTACCCTCTCTTTACGATTTTGGCCTTATCAGAAGGTCCTGAGCACTGCTCGAATATCTTGTAGCTATTTTTTGGTTGGGTGTGGTCTAGTGGATCTCCCATTGGCTCGATTATTTCAAAAAATATTTTTTGACAAAAAATTGCACCTCCAGAGAAAGAAAATTCACTTTTTTGACCAAATCCAGTTTACGCAGAATAAAAAAATCACAGAAGCTGGATGGTGTGTCCGATTAAGATTTGTAAAATTTTCGTGAATCATATGGACTGGTAGGGTGTGGACACAGTGCTTGTACTGATTTTATATGGCCTCAATTGTAAAAGTTTGCCTATCTTTCAAAAATATTTATTTTCATCTTGCAAGCGCGTACCGCATGACCTGCGCCCGGCCTATCAGGGTTCTATTTTTGCTTGGCATGAAGTTAGCAAGTATTTCTCTTCAAATCTTGAAGACATAAGTTTAAGGTCTAGTTTAGTGGCCTGGGATCTTGTTTTACTCAGCCCGTTCATTTGGAGGGAAATTTTTCTTTGGCTCCGGAATGGGTTCGGCCGAATTCAGGGTTTCCGCGCCTTCGTGATTTTTTGTGACCTTTTTGACCGTTCCCGTCAACTTTTATCTCACTCATTAACATTACCAGTACCAGTGGATCATTTTATGGTACGGTCGACCATCTTGCGATTAGTTATGTTTACCAAAATGTTTCTGAAAAATTGCAACACGTCGGTTTGGCGGATCTGTCATTTTAGAACCTCGGGTCACAAAAACTTTCGGAACATGGTTTCTGATAGACAATTGCATGGGGAATTCAATAAAAAATACTACAACTGGCCAACGTAACTGCTACTAGTGTTTTTGGCGCCCGGGATGCTTGAGACATAATATATGGCAGTAGTAGGTATACCTGTTCACTTTCATTCATTCGATAAACAATGGCAAAGCTATTCATTTATTATTCAAAAAAATCATGAACAAATGAGTACACCAATTTTTTCAAGAAGTTTTGAATAAATGAATGACAGCTTTTATTCATATCACATTCATTTTACATTTATGAAAAAAGAGGGAACAATTCTCAAAATTAATTTTTCACTTTACACTACATAGAAACACGTGGTGTATCTAAAATCCATCTAATAGAGCGAATTTGAGATGACAAAAACTATATAATGATGGCTGAATAAATGTTTATTTTCAAAAATTGATGAAATGAATATTATTTTTTCGAATTGTTAAATTTAATGAATTTAGAATTATCTAGGATATATTTTTTGAAAAGGTATGGCCTCCATGTGTACAAAGACGGTTAAGAGTAAAAGTCTAAGTTTTATTTACCTTGTCCATTTTAAGCAGGCAAAACTTTGAAATATTTTTCTCAGTTTGTTTAAAATTGTTCAGAAATGGAACAGATACGCTTTGGTTCCTGCAGAACGATCTCTACTTATTTTATACGAAAATATTATCTCGTCTCAATTAAAAACAGATTTCCTCAATCATGAGGATTTTACTAATTAATGGAACTTCCTACACCGATTTATGTATTTTTTAAGCACACTCTAAATAATCCGGTAACAATACAAATATGCAAACTTGTACCCAAAGTGATAAATTTTTTACTGTCTGATGCACAAATACAAGTTTTGTATACTTAATCCGTTTTAGTCCTAAGTTAGACTAAATAGTACCAGAGCTGTCTACATATATACATGCGAACCTTTAATAAATTATTAACACGGCTCTTGAATCATATTTTTATATTCACCCCCGGGTAATTATTTTATTACCGGATTACTTAGAGTGCATTTATTTAAGAAGCAGATCTTTGGAAAATCCAGTCTCGCTCTTCTTAAATTATTTAGAAACTGTTTAAAACATTTTAATGTCATCATTAACACATCATTAGGATATGGTAAAAAACCTGTAATTAACTAACAATTAGTTGCTTTTGATAACTAGGGAATTATAATTTTTAAGAGATTTGAATTTCTAGTGACATTTCATTTCCAAAAACATTCAAAACCATATAAAAGGCAGAAAGTTACTGAGCAGGGTTCAACATTTATTCCACGATCGCTAAATAATCTAACGGCTAAATTATGTAGTTCCAAATTTCTCCTGGTTTCGTCGTAGCGCTTTGTTTGGTGGCAGGTATTAACATAAATGTTTATCTTTCCTGTTAAACAAGGACGATTTTTTTCAAAATTTTTCAATTTTTTAAACAATTTATCAGCATGTTACGCCAACGTGCAATGGGGGCAATGCAGTTGTGGCTGCATCAAATCCGAGTGTGACTTTCCCCGAACGGCGGACGAATGCAGTCGCTGCGCGAGTTTGGTGAATGCCCCGAGCAGCAGTTTTGACGAGGGAAAATGTTGGATCAAGGGTAAAAAAATTATCAAATTTTTCAAAAAATGCAGGGAACGTCGGTATATTATGTCATCAAAAAACACCGATTTCTAAAACTCCCACCTACCCCTTCCGTATCCTAGTCTTGTTAAGCTTAATACGACTAGGATGGACGATCCAAAACTACCCATTCACCTTTTTGATGACTTAATAAATGGACGTTCCCTATCCGACAAGTTTAAAAATAACTTTTTTTACGTCGCATTATTTAGTCGCCAACATATCCCCGATGGATTGTGGACTTCGCTGCTACCGATCACTTTCCGGTTGTTCTGGATTCGGTGGGGTGTCCCACTACACGTATGGAAATATGTGCTGGTGCGTTTACAAAAAGCCCTGAAACAATGTAACATCTCCAAATAATCACTTGATTTGCATAAATTTATCACAATCAAAACTTTGTGATTCGTAATTAAAATCCTTCAAAATTAAAGTTGATCAATAAAAGGAAACAAAGTTATGTGGACCTTCATGTTTGTGAGTAGTAAATAAAACATTGTGTAGTTGGAAAAATCATGTCTGCCAGTTACAAGGGTTATTTTTACTTCAACAAAGTTCGTGGGATTGCAGTATGTGCGTTCATTGTCTGTGTCCACGATAAGTTGAGATCATTTGATTATGTGTTGTCAAAATGCAACTGACGTTGCGCCAAATTGATTCCTCGATTTTCAATTAAAATTCAATCTCAGAAGACCGGTTGCGGATTTTATTTTGTATCATCAGTTCCGCAGAATGCCAGGTGATATGCGAGTTGTTCCCAGGTAAACGAGAGCCTTTTGCTCTTCATCCTCACCGAAAGTAAATAGAGAAACATAAATTTAAGTTGCATCGTGATTTTCTGGACATGCGTGCTTCTGAAATTGATGCTACCTCGTCCATGAGCAGGTAGCAAAAGATACGACTGAAAATGTCTACAAAGATCTGTAAAATCTTTTTGAAACCTATCCTAACGATTTTGGCATTATCAATGAACACCTCCCGAGTGGATTTGCTATGCTCACAAACGAAAATTAGAATTGAACCCCCCATTAGACCCAAGTAGAGGATGAATGGATTCTGTAAATTTGACCCGAATAAGGTTAACTTCTGAGGCTTCCTTCCCCCAAGTACATCTTTTCTGGTTCGTCTCACTACCGGTTTTGAACCCTTTCCAACATCAAGACTAGCAATTTGGTTTTGTTTTGGGAACAATTTGTAGAAGAGAATCTCCTGTCTGAGATTTGTAATTAGGGTTTGAATTCCAGAAATTTGAATATACTCCATCAACTCATATGCTCTTTTGGAGTGGTGGAACTGGGTCATCCAATAATATTTGAAGGCTTCTATTTTATCCTGGGATATTGGGCTGCATTGCACAGTTCCCATCACATAATTCGTTCCACCATCCCGTAAAAATGGTTGCAAATCCCTTGTTTTCTCCACGAAAAGGGCCATTCCACGGTATTTAGCCAAAGTGTGATATATTTGAAGTGGATTTGTGTACAATCTTTGAGTGTTGAATTCGGAAACAATCCGGAAATGATGGGACTTATTCCCAGTAAGTTTTCGGTATGTTGCTAATTTTTCCTCAAAATACCTAATATAAGTTGGGATAGCTTCCTTCGAGGATACGATATACCTATGTAGTGCGCAAACGGTGAAATTAATTGCCTTAGTAAAGGGTAGTTTAATTTAATGTTTATGATTCATACAAAATCAAATTTGTGGGTGCCTTTACCTGAAATCTGATTCCTGAATGGCATCGTGAAGCCTAAGGAATTGCTTTTCCAGCGGAAGTTTTATCAAGTGGGTTGTAACAACGGCCAAATACGCGTTAGTAAGTACCATGAAACAGAGAAGGGATAGAAAGGTCCACCTATTATTTCCAGGAAATTGACCAAGCAGAGCAGCCAAAACGTCCCAACCTTGTTGGAAGCTTCGATAGTAAACCGTAAATGATATGGCAGTCAGAAGAATCGAACTCCAAATCCAGCTATCCAACGGCAATACAAAAATCCTCCAGCTCGGTGGCATGAAATGACTTTTGTAATGACAGTATACGAATTCAAGACTTGTTTGTGAATTGATAGATACATGGACTGGTATCATTCTCCGATTGCTGAACTCCAACGGGTTGAATGCAGTAAATAAATGCAGGCCGGGTGCAGATACGATGTTGGATTCCAATGCTAAGCTGAGGTTTAGTTTCCGGAGGAGGATGCCAATGGTAAATTGAAATGGATAGCAGCCGACCCCCTCAAGGTAGAAGACGTCTTTCAAACAATTGGAAGGAACTGAAAAGTGGAAAAAACTTGGGAATGGGCAATGATGATATACTTGTACCGAAATTAAATTGGCTTGGACAAAATAAGTTGTTTAAAAAGATTCAAGTCATACCGCGGATATCCAGTTGTGCTGGATCGCCGCTACCGATAGAATTAATACGGGTTGTAGTATCAAATGCTAGGCGTAATCCAAATGAAACATTTTCTTCCCAAACGATGTTTGACTCCATGTTACAAAAGTAGCAGACAATACCCCACTTTCTACCCGGCTTATTATCTCCTTCTGTAATATTCAGTAAGATGATGTTTGCCGTATACATCGGCAGCCCATCAATTATATCATAGTAATTATTCGCGTATAAGTTTGCTAGAAACCATCCTTCCATGCTATCGAGTACAGAGAAGTTTAGTGATATTAAAAACAGGGCAGTGTGATAATATCCCAGTGATGATTCATCAATCAAGTCGTTCATCACTTGGTTTCCTTCGTGTATTCCTGGAATTAAATTTGGAACCAGAATCCAAGCAATTGGACAAGGGTTTGATGCAGTGTGTTTTATACTGTCCATTGCTTCGGACTTATTTCTGCTTAATATGTCCACTGACAGAAGAACTGATGGAAGATGAGAAGGAAAAGTGTGTTTTTGGCAAATGTCCGAATTACAGTTTGGCATGAGTGGTGGGCAATGTTGTAAAATTTGTAAAACAAAACAGCCGAGGGTTGATAGAGAGAAGAGCGCAATGTGAAAAGTTAACATTATTTTAAAGATCGTTGACATTTTCGCTTGCATATTTTGCAACTCAAAGTGAAATCTGATCAGTCTTAGTATACAACTCGCTGATTTGTATGTCCTCTACTCATCACCTATGTACGAAGTTATCATTGGTTTGGTGATATCCAAAAAAGTATTTATGCATATTAATAAAGTTTGTTTTGGTGTTATTTTAAATGTCGATGTGGTCACGCGATAATCAACTAATTGTGGTGAACTATCCTGTTTCATCGACTGCGTGCAGATATGTTTTGCACGTCTTATTCTTGATTGACGGGATGGTTAGGAAAATTCCATGATTTTGATACTTAAAAAATAGCAAACAGGGAGTTTTAATAGATTTTAACGAGGTTTTGTTGGGTTTTTAGAAATAGATTCCCCAAATATTTTTTACAACCATAACAAACCTGCATACATAAGCTGATAAGCTTACTCATGTAAGAATTATCCATGTACACATTAGGTATAAATTGTTTCCATATTTCAACTGAATTCCAACTCCATAACTTTTGCTACGGAATTTGGATTTTCAAAAAGTCCAAAAACGCTAAAATTCAAGTAATATCAACAAAAACTGATTGGGAATGAAATTTTGCATGCGTTATATGAGTGGAGAAAATCAACTGGGGGGGGGGGTCATGTGACGCATATTTTCTTTCAGTTTAGAAAATGAATGTATTTTGAACCAAGAAATATATATATACACAGAGAAACTCTAGCATGAAAATCAAATTCATTTTGTTACATTTTGTCGCTGAAGGTATCAATTTTCTTGAATTCAGTCACGAATACCCAACGGAAAGCTAAAGTTTACTTTATTTATGTAAATAAATACAATGAATAAAAACTGATTAATCGGTAATGACTTATATTTATTTATTTTCACAATTTTCATAATTAATAAAGAATTCACAACTTTTTGAAATTTTTGAATTGGATGAATCTCCAATGAAGAAACATTATTTGAAAAGGATTTCTATCCTTGGGTAAAGAAATGCAAAAGTTATTTTAAATTGAATCGGAATCCAGGGAGTACAGAAAATCGAAGAAATCGATAGGGCCCTTATCCCCGCTGTTGCCGTAACCGTCATAATTCCCGCCAGAGTTAGAACCCCAATCATATCCGGATTCATCGTAGTACTGGCGCACCGTTTTAGAGTGGGCTTCGTTCAACAGAGCGAAAAGAACGACGACCACAAGGGCGCAGGATAGGAAAATTTTCTGAAAATATTAAATACAAACGGTTACAATTGTCTCAATCATATATACCTGTTCACTTTCATTCATTCGATACAGTTTGACTAAAATATTCATTTATTATTCAAGTTCATGAATAATTGAATGAACCAATTTTTGTCACATTTTTAATGAAAAAATAATGAATATATTTTTATTTATTTCACATTCATTTCACATTCATGAAAAACGAGGGAATAATTATCAATACTAATTTTTCACGTTACACTTGAAACATGGGGTATATTTAAAATCCATCTAATAAAGCGAATTTAAGATAAACCGAATACAAAATGAATAATGAACACGTAACCAATTTTTATTTCCAAACATCGGAAATTCTTTGGAAAATCCTGTGTAATTATTCGTTAATTATTTGTACAGGTTTTTAAAACATTTTAATGTCATCATTAACAGATCATTAAGATGTGGTAAAAAAACCTGTAATTAGCTAACAATTAGCCTTGTTTGATAACTAGGAAATTATAATTTTCTAAGAGATAAGAATTTCTAATGACATTTCGTTTAATGACAATCGAAACCATATAAAAGGAATAAAATCACTGAACGAGGTTCAATATTTATTCCACGATCTCTAAATAATCTAACAACAAGAGCTAAATTATGAAGTCCCAAATTTCTCTCGGTTTCGTCGTAGCGCTTTCTTTGGTGGCAGGTACATACACAAATTTTGAACTTCAATTTTTCACGACAGGATTTTTTTCAAATTTGTTCACATTATTCAAATTGTTTCAATTTTTTCAAATTTTTTAAACAATTTTTCAGCATGTTACGCCAACGTGCAGTGGGGACAATGTAGCTGTGGCTGCATTAAATCGGAGTGCGACTTTCCTCAAACGGCGGATGAATGCAGTCGCTGCGCAAGTTTGGTGAAGGCTCCAAGTAGCAGTTTTGACGAAGGAAAATGTTGGATCAAAGGTATATACATACATAAATATGCAAATTTATTAAATTTTCCAAATAGTTTAGGGAACGTCCATATATTACGTCATCGAAAAAACGCCGATTTCTAGAACTCCCACCCTCCCCTTCCTTATCCTAGTCTTCTTAAGCTTAACACGATTAAGATGGACGATCCAAAATTCCTGACCCACCATTTTGTTGGCGTAATACTTGGACGTTCCCGCAATTAAATTGGTAATCCTAATTTTACGTCACATTATTTAGTCGCCAACATATCCCCGATGGATTGTGGACTTCGTTGTTACCGATCACTTTCCGGCTGCTCCGGATTTGGTGGGGTTTCCCACTACACGTATGGAAACATGTGCTGGTGTGTTTACAAAAAGCCATGAAACAATGCGTCTTTCATCAGTTGATTCCCATATACAGATATATACCAAAATCAAACTATGTGTAAATCATAATCACAATTTTTTTAAAATTATAAATACCGATCAATAAAACTATTCAGTTTCTTCCAATTCGGAAAAATAAACGGTGGTCATTGTGTCCTGTCCATATTATACACGACTATTCTCTCCGCGCAACGTATTTTATGAACTTTCCCTCCTAGACTTGAGGTCGGAAACATAGCTGTCGTGAATCTCGATTTCGAACAATTGGCCGCAGTTGGCGTAAAGAAGCGGAATTTGTTTCGATCTGATAATTTTCTCCCTTTGACACGCGATTTTTAACATTTAATTAATCACTGGAAGCATTCAATGTAATGAGGGTTAGACTATTCACTATTTATATATGCCCTCAAAACAAATTTTTCCATGTCAGCCAAATTTTTCCATGTCAGCCAAATTTTTCCATGTACAGATGTATGCATCTGGTGGCCATGGTAAGTTGAACATTGCCCAGTAATGGATTAGACTAATGGATCGTGTGGAAATATACCAATGATAGCTATTTACATGATGGATGATATTGATTTTTAAATGTTTAGTCCACGTATGTATGTTTGCCACGTCAGCGTCAGTAATGTACTTATGTAAACGTTTCAAAATCCAGATTATAAAAAAGCTGATTATGGAACGAATAATGCTAAAGTTTCCGCGCCGAAATAAAGTTGGACTCATTACTAATTTTAGGAAAGGCTGAATTTATTCGGTTAGATATATTTGTTCAAACACTTACTACCTACCTGGTAAAGTACGCCGGAGAGTTTTTAGACGCGGGTATGGTATCAGATATTCCTAAGTGTCTTTTCCATTAAACTACAATGAAACAACGTTTTCAGTCAATTCAGATTGCATATCAGAGTTCTACCAGAGGTCGACGCCGATGGTACCATCGGCGGCGGCGGCTTGCATTTCACTAAGGGGCGGCGGCGGCGGCGCGCCGCGCCGGTTTTTTGCCTGCGGCGGCGCCAAATGTTGAATAGTTTTCTAAGAGCTTTTAAAGAGGTATCTTGTACTTTTTCGCTCGATAAAACGCAGTCGGGTAAAAAATATATGTGCGCAATCTTTTATGTGCTTCCACATGTCATAGTTTTAAACCCTTATATGTACATAAAAGCGTTATGTCTCCCGGTCTATTTCTGTGCACTTGGGCAGATGTAGGATAAGGGACCACTGATAACGTCAAAGGTAAAAAATGGAAAGCACTTTTTAAGCTAAAATTATAACATCTCCGATTTTGACAAAAGCATTCTCATTTTTTAATGTCTAATCAAATTGCACCTATTTTTATAAAGCTACAAGTTCGTTTTGATTATGTCGCATCACTTCAAGACATTGCTCAGAATTATTCGTGGGTTTTAACACTACCGCGTTTTTCAATCTTTGTAATTTAAATTTAGCATTTTGAAGATTAAGGTATCAATTCTTTAATTAAAAAAGATTTCCACCCGCAAATTTTGGAAATTAAATATATTTGCATAGTAAACTTTGAAAATTGTTGGAAAGTTATTTCGGGTACAATTTCCCAGTTTCGTGATAAAATAAATCTTTATATTCGCGTTTTGAAGCCATTATACAGACGCGAATTTAAGGTTACGCCAAAATAAGTAACTTATCTTCAAAAACGCAAATTAATTGAAAATTCAGCTGGTAAAAATCATGGAAAATTTTTCCTATTTTTCATAAATATTTATTCTAATGCTATTCTAATACATTGTATTTGTCATAAATAAGAGGTCATTATATGAAAACTCTAGTTTGGGACTGAAAATATTGTTAAAGGGTGTCTTTTGTAATTATAATTAGACCAAAATCTAGTATTCAAGCCAAAATAAAATCGGCGCCAATTTTTTTCCGCGGCGGCGTCGGCGCGCCGTTAATTATTTTCGGCGGCGGCGGCTCGTAAAAAAGTACCGGCGCCGGCGGCGTCGGCGGCGTGTGGTCGGCGGCGTCGACCTCTGAATTCTACATAAACAGTTTTACTAGTTTTGATTTATCTCACTGTCAAATCAAGTATCATGGCGCCTTCAAGTATTCTCTGTATCTTAGCAATATCTGTACTTCTTGTTATTGCATTTCCTCCAGTTAATTCGAAAATGGTTCCCGTATTCAGCACCATGATGGGGAAGTTGAACCTATGCGATATCCTAATCTTGAACTACGAACACAAATGGACATACGGTAATATTGATTGGTTTAATATTGACCACCCCGTAAAAATGGCCGAAGCAAATTTTGCATACGAGTTTGTAAGTAAGAAGATACGAATCCATACGTTCAAATCACGATTTTCCTCAGAATGCCAGATGGCAATATTTCTATCGTTCTATTACCTACAAAATAGAGAATTAGTGGCTAAAGGAGGTATTGGCATGCATCTCTACACTTACTTGGTTCGCAAAGGGTACATGTTTCATACTGAAAACAAAGATTTCAATCCTAATTACGAGTATATCCATTCATGGGATAAAGCCATCATTATGTTTGTTACGACACAAACTAAGAAACATATCCTTCACGGGGTGTATTTTGAGGGACACCAAGTTAATAAAATTGGAGTGCTGTTCCTTCTTGAGGGAAATAAGTTCAAAATATGCTACTGGCATCGCAAGCAGCCGTATGAAATGGTTAACATTGTGGAGTACTCTTTCATGAGCGGTGGCTTGTACTGCGACAGAAAGAGCTCATTTGAGCCAAAGTGTGTACAAAATTATTACTGCTATAGAACCCCCGCCAGAAATATGGTGTCATAGCGGCGAAGTATTAGCTGGAGGGAGGCTTGCTACTAAAGACAAATTATCAAACCCGTATGACCCTAACTTCAATAGTTCAACAATTATAGAGCATATGTTGCAGGTCGTATTTTTAAAAGCAAATCGAACCCTGATTTTTGAAATTCAATGTCACTGGACCTTACAAAGTCTTCAATTTCAGTTAATCAATTATAATGATCTCGGTCTAACCCCCGACAAGATTTCTGCTTTTGAAAGGTTAATAGTCACAGAATTTATTGGGTACCAATATCTAACCTGCATTCGGGAAGAATATATAACTTTTAAGATTTATATCACCCCTTTCAAGCCCTGGTTGTGGGTCACATTGCTAACATCACTGATATTAATTATCGCAATTACCACGATCTACAAATATCTGACCACGTTGAGACGCGTCCCCTTCGCCACGTGGTTGTTCATACTTGCCACAATTTTCGAAGAGAGTGGTCCCCTCCCTAAAGAAATTGATCGAAAATGGTTTATACGTCTAATTCTAGGCTCTTGGTGTTTAGTATCGGTCATTCTGACAAATTGCTATAATGGAATTATGATATCAGAACTTAACGCTCCTCTCGATGCCTTACGTTTGTCAACATTTGAGCAGCTGCTTTGTTACAGGACGGATAAAAATGACATACCAAAATTTCGAGATGTCTATGTCGATTTAATTGTAAAATTCATGTTAAACAATACAGCACTACTAACCCATTTGAAAGATGGAATTTCAAAAGTTGACTATAAAATGACTGCCTTCTACGTATACTATCTCTCATTTCTAGCAAATCCTCTGTCCATTATGTCCTTTAAAGAAGGGAAACATCTCGCTGAGAAAGAGATAAGCAGAATTGCCCCAAAGAATTGCTTTCATTTGCTATCACTACCACCAATTTACACGTCGGGGGGTCCGATGACTCCAGAATTTACCCAATTATTGTTAGATATTATACATTTGATTGATCTAAAAATTAAATACGCTTTTCTAATTTTTGACCTGCTGAACCCAAGACTTACCCATTTTCCTAAAGGCTTGCAACTTTCAAACCAAACCTTTACTCATGTACGAAATAGCGTCGAAAGTGAATTGCTGGATTGCGGAAAATCAGTTTTCATTGTAAAAACCGATACTATCCAAGCAGAATATCACTACTTGACGAGGCATTATCCTACCAAAAAAAGTTTACAAGGGGAAACAAATCCTAGACTATACTCCAATTGGTTTGAAATTTTTTCATCTGCAGTCATCAAGCGTCCCAAAATATTTCAGAGATGTGGTTGAGACTGGGATCTACAATCGGTTAAAAGAAGAGGAAACCCGCCGGAAATATTCGAATCGCAAACCAGCGAAACAACTTAAAAGCATGCAACCTTTTGAGCCGATGGGATTGGATGGGGCAATTGTAACAATCTTCATTCTGTGCGGAGGGATAATTTCAGGAGTTGGATTTGTATTTTTGGCTGAAATTCGTTACCGGATTTTTGCTGGAATGAAAAATTTTATCATTTCGTTGAGCCAGACAGTGTCAAAGACTTTTTTGAAATGGAGAGTTGCCATCGCTAAAAAAATAGGTCTAATATGAAAACAATACATACAAGTGCGGGGACGAGTAATAAACATTTCAACAGTTTAGAAACACAGTTTAGAAACAAGACCCCATGGAGAGACGTGGAGTGCACTCTCCAGACCGTCCGGCTCAAAACGTTAGGGTTAGCAACCGTGTACACTAAATTAAATCTAGGTGAACGGAACCAAAGTTTGTACAAATCGAACAAAAACTAAGATTATGCAAATAACTGTTATGCAAAATTGTTGTTTTGCATAATTTGAAATTAGATAAATTCCCATTAGGTCATATGAGTATTATGCAAAACAAATTATGCAAATCAACCGGATGCCTATGTGAATCACATTTTCGAAAATTTGGTCGGTTTGGGAGTCAAAAAATTATGTTAAGTGGACCATGTTAATGTATATAGATTGAAAATGTTTTTCACCATTCGACACGCAATTTCCATCACTTAAATATTTATGTGTGGTGCCTGTTGAAAGAAATGGTTAGCTAAAATATACTGCATATTATATATAATACCTTAAGCTTTCATGTCCCCAATCCCAATTTATGGATCCTGGCAAAGCTATAAGTATTTATACATACATATGTACATATGTTTTTAAGGTACAGATATCTAGTGCATTTATGCTTGCTTACTAATAAGTAGATTAACCTGGATACTTACTTGTACATTCCTATCTGTGTACACGTAGTTGATGGATGATATTGTTTTTTAGATTCTTTTTGCCCACGTAAGCAAAGTCAGCATCGACCATATAAAAGTTTACCTGCATGTTTTAAAATTTATATTACAACTCTATATAATACGCCAAGAAACACCTAATGCCAATGTTTTCTCCTCAAAATAAAGTCATTGGTAATTTTGGAAAAGTTAAACAACTCCAATGTGCTTGATTTAGTCAGTTAAGGCTATTTTTCAAGTTCTTGGTAAGGTTACAGTTACGACTGCTAGCTTCTAGTTACTTATTTTTATAGAAGAAAGTCTCTAAATGAGTTGAAATTAAGCAATATTTTCTACCAATTCAGATTGCAGATCAGACTATTTAGTATTTCGTCTTCAGAAGAAGCATAATGTTGTCTTCAACTATTTCACATATGTTTCCTGCAATATCTTTGTTTTTTCTTATCCAATTTTCACCCATTGAGTCAAAACTGAATCCCGTATTTGAAATCATGATGTGGAAATTGGACTCATGTTACATCGAAATATTGCACGATGGACACAGAGACGAGCCCATTATAATATAGATTGGTTTAATATTGTCCACCCTGTTAAAATAACGGAATCAAATCGTGTAATACAAAATTCGTCTGGATATAAGAAAACACAAATGGATATATTCAAATCACGATTTTCCTCAGACTGCCATATTGCAATAATTCTTTCATTCTTTCATTTTCGCGAGAGAGACTTTGTCGCTTTACGACATTCAGAATTAGATTACTACGCTGACATGCTTCGAAATGGGTATATGTTTCATATTGAAAGAGGCAAAAGACACAACCGTCTATGGGATAAAGCCATCCTTATAGTTGTCACAACACAAACTGAGCAACAAATACTTACAGAGGTTTATATTCATCCAAACGGACGTAACAAAATTGGAGTGTTATTCCTATTAGGGGGAGATAAATTCAAAATATGCTATTGGCATCGCGACGACTGGGATGAAATTAGCATAAACGAACACTACTATCTGATCAAAGTTTTGTACTGTGGCATAGAAACAGGTCAGCTGACGCAAAGCGTGTTCAAAAGTATTCGTGATATAGAACCACCAATGCAATCATGGTGTTATGGAAGTGAAGCTTTGGCTGGAGGAAGACTTGACATTAGAGACAAATTATCAAACCCGTTTGAGCTTAACTTAAGCAGTCCTAAGATTATACAGCATATGTTGCAGGTTGTATTTTCAAAAGCAAATCGTACCTTGATTTTTAAACACAAATGCTACGCAGCCAAACGAAGTCTTCGATTTGTCTTTATCAGCGACAATGACATTCGTGTCGGAATCGCTGCTTTCGAGACCTTTATAACCATAGATTTTATTGGGTATCAATATCTAACCTGCAATCGGGAAGAATATATAACTCTTAGGATCTATATTTCCCCTTTCAAACCATGGCTGTGGTTTGTATTGCTCACATCGGTGACATTGATTATTGTAATTACGAGCACCTACAAATATCTGACTGCTTTGAGAAACACCTCCTTTGCCCCGTGGTTGTTCATCCTTGCTACAATGTTTGAAGAGAGTGGCTTCCTACCAAAGAAAATTGATCGAAAATGGTTCCTGCGACTCATTTTGGGCACCTGGTGTCTAGCATCAGTCATTTTAACGAATTGCTATAATGGAATTATGATATCAGAACTTAACGCTCCCCTCGCTGCTTTGCGTTTATCAACATTCGAGCAATTGCTTTGTCATAGGGCGGATAAAAATGATATACCAAAATTTGAGGCTGCTTACTAAAAATTATTCATGAACTTTATAACAATGCAATTACAAGAAGTAATTTCGGACTTTAGTATCAAAGTTGCTTACAAAAGGATCGCCTTGTACCTATACTACGTGTCACATCTTTCCGGCGACAGGTTTGTACATTATGCCTCGAAGGAAAAAAAAGAAGCAATTGAGAAACATATAAATATAGTTGACTCACGTAATTGTTTTCATCTACTCTCACTACCATCAACAAACAATTTTGGGGATTACAGACCAGAATTTCTCGAACTCTTGATAGATATTACAATATATTTTAACCAAATTCCTCTAACGAGTAGATACCTCTTTGTAATTTTTAATTTGCTGGACCCTAAACTTACTCACTCCCCTAATGGCTTTCAGTATTCAAACAAAAGTCAGTCTCTAACTCTTTTACAGAATAGCGTGGAGAGCGAATTGTTAAATTGTGGGAAATCCGTTTTCGTTGTAAAACCGAAATTATCCAGGCAGAATATGGATACTTAATGAAATATTATCCCAGACACAAATTTTACAAAGGGAAAGAAATCCTGGACCATTTTCCATTTGGTTTGTACTTTTGGCCACTACATTTATCGAATGTGCCAAAATATATAAAAGGTGTTCTTGAGGCTGGGATATATAGCAGGCTAAGAGAAGAAGAAACCCAACGGAAATATTTGAATCGCAAACCAGTGAAACTAACTAAAAACAAACAGCTTTTTGAACCCATTGGATTGGATGGAGCAATTGTAACAATGTTCATTCTGTGTGGGAGCGCAATTTTGTTAGCTGGTTTGGCATTTCTGTTTGAAAATCGTTATCAGATTTTTGCCGTGGTGAAAAATTTGTTAATTTCGTGGGGTAGGACGTTGTCAAAGACTTGTTTGAAATGTAGGGGTATAAGGATCAAAAGGCTACCTCAATCTCGGAACAATACATGTATGTGAGTTAGTATGAAATAAGCACTCGCGTAGCTGAGTTCTCGATACACATGTCTTTAATTATAGCAGTGTCGAAGTAAATATGCAGTTGCAATAGTAATTCGTTACTTAATTAATTAGGAAAGCTCGAGAAAGTAATATATAATGGACTTTAATTTCTTTATGGCAAAACAAGTAGTTGTAATTAGCAATTGATCACGCTAACTTAATCTTAAATGGTATCGCGTAATTAATTTATTTTTATGTGACACTTTCAATGTTTATTCCGTAAAATATTGATTTACGGATTCTTTTTTGGACAATTATATTCTTACAATTTGTAGCAACAATTTTAATTAGGATTATTACTAATTAATTAATAACCTGCGTAATGGCTAAGCTTCCAGTGTACATTTTTAATATTGTATTAATTCACATGGTATAGTATTGCATAGAATTGTTGGTACAGTATTAATTGAGATCTTTACATATATTTAATTATAACTATTTACTTAGTATTTATATTTATTTAAATTAATATAATCAGAAGCTATATGTATCTGTTTCACACACTTACATATACATTATCAGTTGCAAATTAATGAAAATCTAATAACTGGCTGCTTACATAAAATAACCTGGCCTCGGTGCAGTACATGGTGCAAAACACAACACTACGATGCGAGGAGTATCGTGGGAAATATGTAAATTTGTGGATGTATGTACATATGCACTGGTACCGAGATTATGTACATGTGCAGCGTAATGTTTCCAACCGGAAAAGCCATCCTCCTACATACTTGATTTAATTCACGACAAAAATGCCTAAACTCATGTTTATGTAGTAACAACCAAAACATGTTTACACTCTTAAAAATGACTTTTTCACAGTCTGAATTCAATACGTGTTAAGTAATGTACATTGTTATATATACTCTTAGAAAACTGGTATTCAATCATTACCGAGCGAGTACATAAGTGACTCTATCCTTAGGGTAATTACTGTTAAGTAATGTTGTGGTAATGAAAAATTTACCACTAAGGAACAACTTACCACCAATCCGGTACGAATTTATTACCAGCACGGAGTATCTACATACGTGATTCTATTAGATTTGTAACAGTGTAGAAATAAGAACGCAGGATTGAGTTCTTGGAGTTATCTGTAATGGGGCTACGGCTTACTGGTAATACTAAAATCATTCAAATATGGTATCCATATGGTAAAAATATAATACTGACCTATTACTACACGGTATTACTTATGTCACATATGTGTCTCTGCACTGCTGTAAACTGCTTGGTATCATTTTAACCCTGGATTTCTAAGAGTATTCTACATTCATAAATCCAGAATGAGAACTTTACTTTTTATCAAGCTCCACCTCTGAAATAGTTTACGCTATATTAATTTCAGGGCATATCCACTTTTCGAAAAGTAACACAATTTCTAAGAGTGTGGAACATTTTTCAAAGGAAGTTCACCACTCGGACGATTCCACCGTATGCAAACTTGTGTAATAAATTACATAGGTAAGGCAATTAACATCAGGAAAATCAGACGGAAAGGACATATAACAAAGTGAAACAACCTTTGGTTCCACGTCAATGTCTACGTGACCACACATCCATTCATCTGGAATACTCGGCCGGCTCAGGTTTAACTAACTAACGAGGCTTAATTAACAAGGAACATTTTTAGCAGGAAAGTATATATTTTCACGGCATATTCTTATTAATTTGCACTGCATACATACTTCTCATTCCAAGTATGCAAATATGCACATTTTTCTATTAAGTAAGTAAAGAAAGTCAGACAGAGAAGGTGCACATCAAAGTGAGGCACGATTTATCCCCAGGAACGGATCAATTTCGGATTAAATATTGTTCTAAGGATCGTAATTACGGATTGGGATTTAAGGATTAATGTCAAAGTTTAATACTCAATTTCGGATTATATATTCTGGATTGTGGTTTAAAGGATTGAGAGTAGGATTTAAACATTAGTGTTGTCAATTTTAATGTCAATCTTTAACCCCAAGGGTTAAAATTTAATCCTCAATCTGAACACTTAATCCAGATTAAAGCTAATCCGTCAGCCTCTGGTGTTCTGTTAATACACAAATAAATTTAAACGATACTGTACAAAACACGTGTTAAAATCGGTGATAAATTAGTGCCTGGTAATAAAATCAAAGCTTGTTACCGGATGGGGACCCAGACTGAGAGTCGTGTCTTGCCCGGGCCTGGGTCAGGGGGTGCCAAATTAGTGAAATTTCTGACCTCCTGGTTCCGTGCAGTGCTCACTGTGTGGCGACCAAGCGCTCTGTACAGAGAATTTTGCAAGAAACCGGAGCCCTTTAAGGGTACAGCTTTACTCGAAATACACTTATGCATTTTAGGCTATTCACGTCAACTTTGTAAACCCCGTAAACCGCAACATCTTCTTATACCTGCGTAGATAGAGTTGCGAACTTTACATCGTAAATTACTTTTCGAAAATTCGTCTTCAAACGAATTTTCATTTCTCGCCTTTGTTTATATTTTCAAATCTTTCACGGCGCAGATCTCTTCGCAAGAATTTTGCGAAGATGTGTTGCGAGGTGACGGTGACGTGAATATCCTGATTGTTTCATTTTAATTTATTAATTTCACATAATTTACATACATGTAAAATTTTGAAACAGAATTGCCTAACAGAAACGGGGAAGTCGCCGTCTTAACGGGAGGAACGAGGGGGATTGGTTTACAAGTTTTGAAAAAGCTTGTTCAATCCAGATTTCATGTCATTATGGGTAAGAAATTAGCATAAATTTAATACACCACGTGCTTAAGTAGCCGAAACGTCCCACTTATCTCCAAATGTCGTTTTTTAGTTGAGATTTCAGCTAGTTAGTCCACGGTGCGGTGAAAATCAGTCGGATGTTTCGGCTAAATAAGTGGGAACCTAAGTCTGGTTCGTGGCATTTATAAATAAACTGCATTAATATTTCACGTTAAAATATGATATTTAACTGTTTTCATTCCGAACCTACATATAAATGCATCTAATTTGCATATCTAAATACATATGTAAATATGCAATTGTGCACAATTTGTTGACACAATAAATTTATATCGTATGTTTGCATGTAAAGGTTGTCGCTCTCGGATTGCTGGAGAAAAAGTGATCGCATCCATTCGTGCCGAAGGTGTCACAACGGGATCCTGTCAGGCGTTGGAATTGGATCTAAAATCACTCAAATCTGTGCAAACTTTTGCTGCTAACGTATTAAGAGAAGCGGATCGAATCGATTTGCTAATTAGTAACGGTATGCATCCCGAATAAAAATTATTTCAACCGCTTTCGGGCAGAAATTTGGCATGATTTTCTCATTTTCTGCGCTAAAATATTTGGAATTGCAGCTGGAATCATGTTTTCGACGTATGAAATAACAGAAAACGGATGCGAGTCACACTTCCAAGTTAATTACTTGTCCCACTTCGTCCTCACTAATTTACTGCTGCCAAGAATTAAGGAAACTTCCAGAAGAAGCGATAAGCACGTGGCTTGTCGAATCGTAAATGTCTCATCGGACGCCAGCTATGGGGGACAGATCGACCTTGATGAGTTGGAAAAATGGTAAATACGAAATTTTAGCATTTGGAATTTTGAATTTTTTGTATGTTGTGGTAATTGTAAGTTTCAATTTTATCCTGAGTTCCACGTGCTGATCTGTTAAATAAGTGCAAGAAAGTGGTTTACTTTTTGACATATTTGATATTTTTCGTAATTAAAGTTCTGAAATTTTTAGTTGTTTTGTAATTTTTATTTTCAATTTTATCAATTAACCTTGTTTACATAAAAATCTGTTTTAAATTCCAGCAAAGTCTACATGTCCACAAAAGCATACGGGGATTCGAAATTATGCCAAGTTTTACACACTCGTTATTTGGACACAATACTCCGATCGGAAAAACACATCAAGGTGAACGTTTTAGCTGTTCATCCCGGAATAATCGTGTCCGATTTGTGGGATAACTTACCACGTGTCGTTCTCGCTATTGCAAACGCGGTCAAGGGAATATTTCAAGTGAGTAGTGTTTATTAAAAAAACTCATCAATTAAAACAAATTACAAGAAAATGTGTTAATTCGGGAATGATGAATATAAGTACTAATCATGATGTGGGAGAAGGAATTAAGTGGGATTATTATAACTATTTAATTAGAAAAAAACTCAAACACCCATAATTTAACGTTGCATTATATTTGGAAATATAAAAATTTTCGGCGAGAAAATGTCTTTTTTGACACAGGTAAAATCTATAAAAATGCTTCCAGATTTTACGCCTAATGGCAAAATCGTGAAAATCATAACCATTCAGTTACAAAAATTGTATCCCTCGTGCGCAATTACTACAATTTTTCAGAACGACTTTAGTCCTCTTGCCGAATTAAACAATTTCTTATGAGAAAACGACGATTGTTTTTGTAACGAATAAGATTATATAACGACTTCAACGTATTTTTTTATTAATCTGTCCAAAGACTACTGAGGACGGTGCCAACACAATAATTTACACCGCATTATCCCCAAAATTGGAAGGAATCGGAGGAGTTTACATCGCAAATTGTGAAATTGTCCCACCAAATCAGCAAGTTGAAAATGTCCACGTGCAGCAACAATTGTGGGAAAGATCGCTCGAACTGGGAAAAATTTAATTGTAAAATAATAAATAATAACAAAACAACGCGAATAAATGTAGCCACTCTGCCGCCCGAACTTACTTTTGCTCTATTTCTTACTCTTTTATTAAAACATTCAGGTACAGTGAGGTACACACAATACGACACAAAGTTAATGAATTGAAAAAAAACTAGGAATTAGAAATTTTAACTCGTTCCCATTCCGCCGTCCATGCAAAATTTTTTGTTAATCAAGATGATAATCCAGGGTAACTTGGAAATTCCAAGTTTGGGATCACACACAAATTTCCTCCCCTTAGCGCCGAAGGGGTGTGACACAACGCTTGATAACTTAATTTCACTCTATTTCAGCTGTAGATTAAGTTTCACTAAAAATCTCACTTTTCCCCGACCACACCCCCTGGCGCCATGGGATGTGGGCCCATTGACCCCAAAACATGATAGGATCCTCCCTATGGGGTCATATCCATGATTGCGAAAACCGATTTCGATTATCGCGATCCGTTCTCCCGTTATCCTGCTGACAGACCGACGGACAGACAAAGTCTTCGCATAAAGTAGCTGAACCTACTGAATTAGTACTACATACCACACTGTTATAAATATTTTTGACCATGTCACATATGTAATCCAGTGATAGCCGGTAAACATGAAAAAATTGACATTATTTAGAGTTTAGTCGTGCACATATACATACATATTTGTACGTTCGTTACACATGCGCTCTACAAATTTTGCACAGCTTTGCATTTATAAATTTTGCACAAATTCTACATACCTCTTGATTGTGTCATCATCTTTTTAACTCAGCCTTGAGTAAATTTTATTGATTTTTATTTAGAGTGCGCATCCATGCGCAAAAACATGTGTCACAGACACACATTCCAACTTGCAAATTGATGAAAATCTACATAACAACTTGTTGCTTAAATACGTAAAATAACCTAACGCACGGTGAATTCAGTCACAACTCGAGTCGTTGGAAATATGGCGGGACAATTGTGGATGTATGTACATATGTATTAGTGCTGCGATGACGTCTGCATTGTAATCTTTGCAACTGGAAAAGCCATCCGCCTTGAAACTTGTCTTAATTCAACCTACAACAAGATATTTGCACTCTTAATAATGAGTCTTTCGCAGTTTGAGTTCAATAATTATGTACAAAGCATATTTCAAGTAAGCCACATTGTTAGAAATAATACGTACATGTGTGGTCGGGCAGGTATTTTCTCGGAATTATGTAAATCGGCCACCGCTTACATACAATGCTACGGTGTGAAGTGTAACCTTAAGATTTGGTTAAAATTTAAAAATTGCTGCGTGGTCCTGGTCAATACAATCAATTTTTCTTGGTGCGAATTAGTCAAAATATTTTATTTAGATCAAAGTTGGAAAAATACATAAGCCATTTTTATCCACCGGGAGCTGCAAAATTAATCCGCCTTCGCTTCCCGGAAGGAAAAAAATCGCCCATTTTTCCCACTTTAACGTATGTAAAAATGTTGATCAATTCCAACCATCGCACAAACGCCCTCAAGAGAAACGTTGATTTGGACCACACAATTTTAAAATTTCAACCAAATCTTACAGAGGGTTACACTTGACACCATCGCATTCTACTTTTTTCGCAATATGTACACTGCGACCCACAAAACAAGGACACCTAGGATTTTTTCCAATTTCTCAAAGGCCCTTCAAAATACTTATGTGCTTCTTTCACCATTAAGTACTACGGTCCCTGGTAGTCTTGTTGCAAAGTTTCGTTAAAATTGATGCAGGGGCGGGGTAGTTATCTAATAATATGTCAAAATCAGGTGGCTCATAAAACAAGGACAGGTTTGGAAGTATTTACATTTTAGCCAGTTATTTTGTATTTTATCAATTCTCTTCCACAACAATACTCAGTATAACTACCCACTTTATTGATATCAGAAATAAATCGACGATTCATTGACGCCACGTGCTTATTGACATGACTGATTGGTATTGAATCACGTGCATCAATGATTCCTTGTTTGTGTTCGGAACCTGTTAAACACGGCTTAGTATTAGCATAAACTAGTCGCGACTAATATCCCTAAATAGTTTTAATCGGATTTCGATCAAAATATGTCAATGGCCAAGCCAGAATGTCGATATCGTTGTCTTTGGACCATTTCATTGATCACCGAGGAGCATAATATGGGGTATTATCTTGTTGAGACTGCCACATTTTCAACCTAATTTTTGTTTCAGAAGAAGCAATTGTTCTTCTGAAATGATCTAATAACCTTCTGAGTTCAAAGTAGTCGGAACAACACGATATTAAACCCCATACCATAAACCCCGGGATCATGACACCACCTCCCCCGGTCTGTCTGTGGTAAATTTAAGTTTTGTTGCCTAAGGTCATGAAAATGATACTTATTCCTATCAGGACAATCCAATGTGACTCGGTTTTGTTCCTAAATATGATGTTGCTCGGCTTAGGGGTCCATGACATTCGATCTTTTGCCCACTGCGATCGAACATCTTTGTGCTTCCGGGAAATCTCACGCTTTTTCATCATTTTCCTTCTGCAGAGGATCGGGAAAGCACGCCGGACTTTATTTGGCCTTGATTTCTCGGAAAGAGGCTTGAAAACCACTATAGTCTGGTTTGCCATCACAAAGGAGTTGCCTGAGCGACGGAGAATGATAGATTTTTCGCTCTGCATCATCGGAGGCATGCCCCATTGCTTGTTTGTTCCACCGGAAGTGGTCTCTTTGGCATTGAACGTTACTACGGAATGTCGCCTGACAATTACGTGCTTCGCAAATTTCCAAATACCCCTTCTATTCGCAAGTAAAGTTCTACTTTGTCCCTCTGCCACATGGCCTGGAATTTACCCCTCGCCATGACATACCTTCTAAAGAAAAAGTTTAATCTACACCGACTCTAGACCAAAATATCACAAACATACTGACGATAAAATTTCTGGTTCAAAGTCAATAGATTTCGCCCTGTGGAATAACAAACATCTTGTTTTTTGGGATATGTCCTTGTTTTATGGGTCACGTGAATTTTATATTTTTGTAGATTCCCAAGTTGTATGATTATGAAACAAGATGAAAAGTTGCGACAAGACTTCTACCCACCGCAGTACTTAATGGTGAAAGAAGCATATAATTATTTTGAACGGCCTTTGAGAAATTGGAAAAAATCCTAGGTGTCCTTGTTTTGTGGGTCGCAGTGTACTACTTTCAGACTGCATTCAGTTTTCGAAAGGTACCCACATTTCTAAGGGTGTGAAACACTTTTCGAAGGAAACGCAGCATACAAGGACTTCTGCTTTGTGCAAACTTACATACATATGTAACAAATTGTATAATTTTTCTGCAATACTCGGTTTAGCTAACTACACGGTATTAACAACAAACTTAAGCAGGAAAGTATGTACATATTTGCAACAATGGCATATTAATTTGCACTATATACATACATACTTCTCATTCCAGGTAAATATGTACATATGTATGTAAATTTGCACACTTGTCTATTCTATTTAGTACGTGACGAAAATCAGGCAAGGTAAGGCGGCATAATTGGTCAACAGGAACTGGTCCAATTCCGATTTAATATTCATGATTGTGATCACGAATTAAGATTAGGATTAAGGGATTAATGTCAGTCTTTAATCCCTAGTGTGAATACTAAAGTTTAATCCTTAATTTCGCTAATAAAGATTGTCTAGTAATACATAAAATCAGAACTTATCACCGGATGGGGACCCAGAGTGGGAGTCGTGTCTTGCCCGCGCCTGGGTCAGGGGGCGCGAAATTAGTGAAATTTCTGACATCTTCTGTCCGTCTAGGGCTCACTGCGGTGTGGCAACCAAGAGCTCTGTACAGAGAATTTTACAAGAAGCCGGAGCCTCTCAGGGGTATAGCTTTTTTTGAAAAATAAACACTTTATTCTATTTACGTCACCTTTGTGAACCTCGTTTCGTAACTTTGCGATCAGAATCTTGATTTTATTACGACTTATCAGGGTATGCTACATACCCCGGGTTTTTGGGGTATTGGGGTGTTCCGGGTTTTGGGGTAGCAAATTTGAGCAATACCTACCCCGGGTAGTCGGGGTTTTCAAATTCTACAAAATATCATAACAGGGCATTACTAGCAATTCAACAAATTAATTATTAAAAAAATATAATTAATACGCAGTTTTGTTGCGAAATTACTGAAAAACTGATTTTTTTCATTAATTTCTGAACTTAATACATACATGAGACACTGACTCAATTTGCCCCCAAAACCCCGACTACCCGCAAAACCCAGGTAAAACACCGGGGTATGGGTTTTCAGTAGCAAAACCCCGGGGGTTTCCTTACCCTGCGACTTATGTCGTACGACTTATGTTTACTTGTAAACAGTTTTTCGTAAACTCATCGTCACGTGAATTATGATTTTTCTTTGTATGATTTTCGTTTAAAAGATTTCCTTCCTGACACAGTTTCGTAAAGTTGTGTTGTTGATAAAGTGGTTGCGAAGCCATGCTTTGATTGACGTGAATATTTATGTGCAGTGCTTTATTGTATATCACTAATTGTACGTTTTACGTATAATTTTGCCACAGAATTGCCCAACCGGGCTGGCGAAGTCGTCGTCTTAACGGGAGGAACGAGGGGGATTGGTTTACAAGTTTTGACAAAGCTGCTGCAATCTGGATTTCATGTCATTATGGGTTAGCACAAATTTGCATACATCTAATATACCCTTAATTAACTGAAAATACCCACCAATTTTGACGCTACATACCTCCTAACGTCGTTTTTTAATAGAGATATCAGTCAGTTAGTACGAGGCATGGTCAAAATCAGGGAGAATTTTATGCCGAAATACAATTCGTTGAAATTATCAAAAAATTGTGAAATTTGATCAGATTTTAAAAATTTTTTAATCCAAATCAATAAAATGTGTGTATAAATTTGTCAATAATTCACATTTGTAAAGGTTGTCGATCCCTGCTTGCTGGAGGAGAAGTGATCGCTTCCATTCGGGCCGTAGGTATCACAACGGGATCGTGCCAAGTGTTGGAGTTGGATCTCAAGTCACTCAAATCTGTGTACACTTTTGCTGCGACCGTGCTTCAAGAAGTGGATCGGATCGATTTGCTAATTAATAACGGTATTTATTTACTAACTACCAGGACATGCACACTCTTAACAATTGTGTCACCATTTAAAAAAATAAATATACGTGCCTAAATTCTAACTAAATATATAAATTAAACTCCAAATTAATATCAACATTTACATATCGGATAAAGAGTAAAGCTTATATACTCATAGGTTTTTAAAGCATTTTTATTTTTATAATTTCCAAACGGGTAACATTATTTCTTAGAGTGCAGCGACAACAACAAATTTTGCAACGATAAATTATTTACTCGAATTTTCGACATTTCAGCCGGGGTCATGTTTTCTCCTTATGAAATAACAGAAAATGGATACGAGTCCCAGTTCCAGGTTAATTACTTGTCCCACTTCGTCCTCACTTCTTTACTGTTGCCACGAGTTAAGGAAACGTCATTACGAGTTGATAAGCACGTGGCTTGTCGAATCGTAAATGTCTCCTCCGTCGCCAACTATGGGGGAAAGATCGACTTTGATGAGTTGGAAGAATGGTAAATGCGAAATTTTATGTTTGTGAATAGAATTCGAAATTTTGAAATTTTTCGTATTATGGCAATTCCAAAATTGTAAGTGTATTTTGTGGTAATTTTAAGTTTACCCTGAGTTTCACCTGCTTTTAACCAATTGAAAGATAGTGGTTTCGTTTCTACATTTTTATATTGTACGTATTTTAATTGAAATTCTTAAATTTTTTAATATTTGTTACATAAGTTTTAATCTCCAATATTGAAAATCTGTTTTTAATTCCAGCAAAGTTTACGTGTCCACGAAAGCATATGCCGATTCGAAATTATGTCAAATTTTACACACTCGTTATTTGGACACGATTCTCCGATCGGAAAAACACATCAAGGTGAACGTTTTAGCCGTTCACCCCGGAACAATCGTGTCCGAGTTGTGGGATAATTTGCCCCGTTTCATTCTGGTGATTGCAAACGCGGTCAAGGGAATCCTTCAAGTGAGCAATGCAGATATTTACTACCTCAACGATTTTCACTACAAGAAAATGCATTAATTCGGAAACCTTACGTAGCAGAACCCGTTTTACAAGAAAAAAACGAAACAACCAAAATTTTATATTGTGTTATTTCGAAAAATGCCAAAATTTACGACAAGAAAATCCCTAAATTTAACGTTTCCTGGAGCAATCCCTCAAAATTCTAACATTTTATGATAAAAAATCACGAAAATCAATCAACAACTTTTGTCTTCCTTCCGCAACTTGACTACAATTTTTCAGTTTTCCTTTCGAATTAAACCATTTCTTATAAACACATACGTAAACCCACAATTTTTTGCATACGTTGGGAATCAGAACGTTAATGATTCTTAGGGAATTTATTTTAATTGATCTCTCCACAGACTACGGAGGACGGTGCCAACACAATAATTTACACCGCATTATCCCCAAAGTTGGAAGGAATCGGAGGAGTTTACATCGCAAATTGTGAAATTGTCCCACCAAATCAGCAAGTTGAAAATGTCCACGTGCAGCAACAATTGTGGGAAAGATCGCTCGAACTGGGAAAACTTTAATTGTCAAATAATAATAAAAAAGTACAAAAAAATTTAGCGACTCTACTTATTTATTTGTTAAAACATTGAAATATAATATCACACAATGTTAGTGAATTTTTTAAAAAACTTAAAATTTTAAATTAAAAAAATCATAAAATTTTAACGCGTCCACTGTCCGCCGTCCACGCCATGAATTTTTTAATCAAGACGATAATCAATGGTAACTTGGAAATTGGAAGTTTTTGATCACAGATGAATTTCCTCTTGTTTTTTTTCGTGAAATCGATGCAAAACCAAACAAGCTTGAAGTATGGCCAAGTCCCGATCACCGATTTATACTTGCCCAGCCGCAACTTGCACTTGGTTCGGTTGGTTAATTGACACGTTGTGGAGTTTGAGGTGCATGGGATTGAATCTGTAAAAAAGAATTGGAAAATATACAAAGTGTGGTAAAAAAAAAAATGACGCGTGATTAAGTTATGATTAAGCTATGGATAAGGTATCAGTGTTTGATAAGGATAAAACAATTAATAATTCTGAATTGGTAATATTTTGTTAACTATGTAAATAGCGTTAGCTGCTTTATGTGATAACTTTGTCCGTCCGTCAGTCCGTCTTTCATGATATTACAAGAACTCCCCAACACAATCAAACCCCACTTTCTCCATGGTACCGATAGTTATAACCTTTGAACCTAAATAGATCGACCTCTAAAATGGGGTCAAGCTCAACGTCAACCGCCAAGTTTGACGATTATCGTTTTTACACATTCTTGTACATAAATAACTTGCTCACTTATTTGATAATGCGATGCGAAGTTAATCGAGCCCCCTGGATACGCCGTCGTGTTAAACCAGACCGTCATTATATTTCCCGTCGAAGTTACGACCGGTTTTGCAGGATCCGACGCTTGCAGTTGACCCTGCCATCGTCCCAGATTAGTTCCACCTGGATAAGTCCCGTCATAAACCTGTGCAAAAATTTATTCGCGAAAGTAAGATAAAAATTTATGTAAAAATTATGCACAGCCGGGAAGGATGCAATGAGAACATTAATTCTCAAGAATACATAACTTATGTATTCTTATGTATACTTATGTATAGTGTACTTATGTAACATAAGTACACTTTTTAGAGGGACACAACACTCTAAAAAATAAAGCAATCTTACCATTTCGAAAAGTAAATGATTTACATAAATTCTATATGAAATTCTTCTAAAAACTAGACCCACTCTAAATTATGAATTAACTAAACGTTATATAAACACATACAAACTAACTCCAGAGTTAATTACTATGCTCTGGACTCGGTATGCACACTCAAAATAAAAATTTGTCGAATCAACACCGCCGGTGTCAATATATAACTTAACCGCCTTGGTTACAATGTTGAATCCGAGTTACGATGATTTTGATACCGGCAGTTATAATGTTATGACCGGACGGAAAAAATTCATTACTACTCGGAATCACAATTGTAACCAAGGCGGTTAAGTCATATATTGACACAGTTTTGTTTTGAGTGCATACACATACACACTCTAAATAAAAGTAAGTAAAATTTACTCATGGGTGAGTAAAAAAGAGGATGCCACTACAAAAAATGTAAAATTTATCCAAATCCAAAGTTTGTCTAAAATTGGGTAAAATTTATCCAACACGTGGATAAATTTTGTTCAACATCGGATAAATTTTACCTCTTGGTTGTGTGACACAACTTGTGTCATCCCCTTTTTTTATACAACCTTGCGTACATTTTACGTAATTATAATTTCTAATTTTTATTTACAAGTGTCTAAAGTTTAGTTTACTTAATTTAGAGTGCAATTATTACAAAAAAGGTAAAATTACAGTGAGCAAAAAAATTATTTTTTTCACTTATTTTTTTTGCTAACTGTATTTTGAAAACTGTATTCACGCAGTAACCTCCACCCTGTCGAGACCTGCGACCAGAGAATAGCTGTCCATCGTCCAAGTAATCGTGTCACATTCTCCGGGGGCTTGAATCGTCCAGAAAAAATCCCCACAAATTGTCCCGTTCCACACGGGAGAGGGGAACGGGGGCTGGGTTATGTTACCCGACGGAGCCGTAAGTACCGTGGGGGGCGGATTTACACAGTTCATCATCTGTGAATTGACAACTTTTACACCACTGAAAAGTATTATTAACACGATAGAGAAAAATCCCATAATTCAGATTTTTTTAAAATTTGGAGTCGTTTCCAAACTAAAATTTGCAATTAAATCAGCGCCAAAGCTGTGTCAGACTTATTTCACTTGACCAAAAATAGAGTTTTTAGAAAGAACTTTTTCACATTCGTCGCATTTACACGAAAGAATTAATATTTTTTGATTCTTAAGAAATTTTAATTCTACTTCCTGCTTAAAACATTTATATTTGTAACGTTTTTATCACAAGAGCAATTTATCACAATATTTATGTATGAAATAAATACGTAAAAAAATTAACGTTGGGCCTGATTTTGCAATAAATTAAATCTTCTACACTAAATTAATTTAGTGCAGAATATGTAAGCGTCTGATTTGTTTTGACCACCATATTATCGAGCTTATACATAAATGCATTGTGCACTTTTCAGAGTGGCAGCAACTGATCGGAAGACAATGCATCGCCGAGACAATGCCGTGGAAAAAAAAGTTGTGCAGGGTTCTTCCGCAATAAATTTAAATACGTAATTAATGTGGTTACACAATTTTGCATAGTTGCCAATTTTTCCTGTCAATCTGATACGCTAAATGCGGTGGTAAAATCGGTAATAAAATCACTAGATTAAAACTGCAAAACCGCAATATTTCGGTAATAATATTTAATTGTAGATATATTTTTTAATTGTTTTTCTAGATGTTTAGTTTGATGCGGGTGAAAATAAAATTGTGCATTTCTTTATGCTGTGAAAATTTGGCTGGTGAAAAATTCACACTTTGTGTAAATTAGATTTGCAAATATTTTGCAATACAAAAAAACAGGGATCGAACCCTAATTTTGTTGTCTACCTGCATCTTCAAGCATTGATTGCTACTAGAAAGATTATCTTCTGAATCTTAGATTGACATGTAATAAGTAAATAAAAGTTGCGATGTAGAATGATTAATGATTGGTAAAAAATCATTGAATTGATTGGAATACTTATTCATTTGTCCTACAAATCTTTTAGCGATCAGACATGACAATAATACTTTTAAATTAAAATCTTCCTAAGCTACATATGTAAGTATTTATCTATTAACGGGTCTATATTATTCACATCAGATTAATTACGCTTGAGATGCGTGCTGATTACTTATGATGGAGGAGGATTTCTATGGCAAAATACACTCCATTAGAGGACGTGCATATATGACGTCAAAAAAATGGTAGGTGGTTTTAAGTGGCTGAAATATCCGACGCATGTTTAGTTTAACGTAACATAGTTAGGATACGGAAGGGGTGGATTGGTGGTAAAAAAAAATGATTTTTTTTGATGACGCAATATGTGCACGTTCCTTTGTTGCAAGCATGCAGTGATGCATAAAATCGTATACGTTGATACAGTGTATTCGCCTTTATGTATTAATTCTTACTATCTGTTTCTACGTTTTAAATAAATAAGTTCTAAAATTTACAGATAATTTACATATGCAGTATATTTATGTAAATATATGGATAAATATTAATATCTCGTTCGGCTCGTTCGGCTAATGTACTCCACGTGATGAACTCAGAGAGCGTGAAACGGTATTTAATACCAGTTTTCTAAGAGTGTACATACAACAATTCTGAGTTTACTTTCGATTTAATAACGAATTAATGGTGAATTTATTTTCAAAAAGCTTACACAATTTTTAAGATTGTGCCTAATGCAACTAAAGCATTGTATACCTCTGCTATATAATCAGTGGCCGCGGAAGCTGTGGGGACATTAGCATTTTAGTATAGGAGAGTAGGGGCGGTGGTTTGCGTCACATGCGGACATCCAATACCCATGGGGACATTGTCCCCCTCTCCCAACGCCACCGCAGCCACTGTTTATAAGTGAGCATTTCTCTTCAATTAATTACCTTCTCATGTTTTCCTGACTTATTAAACCGACTTCATCCATGCAAAACTACGCTTGATACATACCTAAAATGCAGAAATTCCGTTCCCACGGTTCCCACGTAACAAAATTTACTTCTTAATTACTACATATGCGCGTATGTACATATTTAGTAACGAATATAAATACTTTCAGTTCCATTTGTTAATGGTATCCTGTATCAGTCAAGCATCCTCATCCACAAAACTTCGATACAGTCATACATCCCTACCGATTCGGTTATAAATTTGTTTCCACCGAGAATACATAGTTCACAAATCGAGAAATTCATAAGTATGTATGTAATCTGTCCTAAATTTATAACCCAACAGTTGATACATATTTATGCATATCTTTATGCACCTCCTGGTTTTAATCGAAACAGAATTATTTTCAGTGTCATGTTACTAAACGATAACTACCATCGTTCCGGTGGAGTCGCACATACAGGGTGGTTTAAATGTCAGGTTACAAAGGAAAATTTTTCAATGGGAAAAATTCGTAAATTTCCATTAGTTACGGATTTGAGATTGAGATTTTTATTAATTTTTATCAGAACTTATGGAACACTGAAGACGAAATTCTTAAAATATTGAATTTCAGAGGCAAAATTTCGGTAACTAACGGAGATTTGCGAATTTTTCCCATTGACAAATTTTCCATTGTAACCTGACATTTGAACCACCCTGTATGTAAATTTGTACGCCGGGTGGTAATAATTTAATGCCAGTTGTCTAAAAGTGTCTACAAACTTGACGAGATCATGTGGCCCATTCTGCCACTCGTTTTATCCACGCTGTTATGCATTGTCACCATAATTCCGGTTACCCTAATCATACTTTTCTTCCAAGTGGTGCGCCTCCTCGTCGAGCTGGACGCCGAATTCCGCTTACCGACTTTATTCAGGAGTTTTTCTTTCTGAAGAGAAAACCAAGCAGTGATAAATATATCACTAACAATTAAATATTTGTGTAAGTTACACCGGGATTTTTTGAGAATTACATACATCAAAACATAAAATTGTAAATGTTTCTCTTTTACTTTATGAAATTTTGGCGAGTGCTATAATTTAATATTTATGTTTAACGAAGTCTTACACTATTAGAAAAATCAAATTTGAAAAAAACCCATTCAAGTCGACAGAACGTAAAATTCGCCAGTAATGAAAAAAAAATATTTTTTTTAGAATCTAGAACAAAATTATGACAAATAAAAATAAAAACAAATAAAAAATATTTAGATCTATGAATAAACGATGACAACCGATAATATGTATAAATCCGCCATTTATGACAAAAATATTCTAGAAAAATTATCATAAAATAAATAAATACATATAAAAAGTTCTAACATTAACATGTATCGATACTCTCTATATGAATACTTAGCTAATTAATAAATATGCTCTTATTACGAATTGAATTAAATATGTACATGTATGTATAAAAAATATTAAAATATGTTCTTTATTAATTCCAAATTAATTTTATGCGCAGAGCAAGCTTAAATTGTATTTATTAAGTGTTTCTAAAAACCATCAGCTACATACAAAAAACATGTCAGAAAAGTTGACCAGTAGTCGAAAATTCAAGGACAGCATAATCTTAATATTAGGCTGACATAAAGCGCAATTAAAAAAAACACTCGATTACGTTCTAAATGCTTTAGTGATAAACCATCATCACGTAATATATTTAAAATAATGCTCTGTTTTTAGTGATAACGTTTTGGGAAAAAAGAGGATACAAGTGAAAAACTCTGGTCCTAAGCGCATGTGAATTCGTTATTAAAAAAACATTTGATTGATTATTTCAGCATCATTGGAATAAGTCGCATTCGCCTGCATTTTTTAAAGAAAATGTGTAGTTAACTAGTTCTTCGAGTATTAGAATTTCGGCAGACTACTTTCATATATTTACTTCGTGCACTTTTAGATTGTCATAAGTAGTATTTTGATTTATAGATGAAGCATGATTGGCATTTAAAAAAAACACGACGGAATTCAATTGGTTAATTTCACTTTATTTTTTTAATATTCCCCACGATCGAAAATTATTAACAAGCATCAATGTGATTCTGCACGCTCCCAACAAACGTGTAAACCCCGGGGTAGTCTGGAGCAAAGAAATATAAATTTTAACCATCTTTAAGGTAGGCAAAAGTCTAAGATAATTTCAACGCGACAAAGTAAACTTACTTGGGTCGGCACAACTCGGTTGTCCCCAACTTACAATTCCAAATTGAACACCTTCCATCACAAAAGGCCCTCCAGAGTCACCCTAAATTGTTTAACCAAATATCAACTTATTTCACATATCTGAGGAGCAATTCAATTGTAATTTACTCTATACGTAAGCACAAATTTTTATTCGAAATATATGCTTACGCCTTGCGAAAATTACAATTAACTCGTCACAGAATTACGAACTAATTTAGAATGGACGTTTCGCAAAAGAGACCTTGGAGGACCTCGGACACAGGAAAATATCGTTGCCTCGGATTTCGCTTAGTTCTTAGCTTATCTACCACCGGAAGCTAGCCGACTTTAGCCCCACTTTCGAGTTTAGTTTCCGTTCGCTTGCCTCGGAACTCGCTGATCAGGAAGTAAGCGAAACTGTTTGTGTGTCTGAGGTCCCCCAGAAGGGTGAGGGACGGAATTTGGAAGCACGTGCCCACTCGAGTAACATTGAACGCGGGCTTATGTTCAGTTTGAACCCGCCCCTCCCCATTTTGAAGTAGAGAATAGTTCATGCATAGATTTGTAACGAACTTGACAAGCGTCTTTCCAGCCTACACCTAGGAAACCTGCACACATCATCGTATTTGTTATTAGCTTGGGAAGATATCCAGTCGCGCACTGTAACTGATGGACCACTGGAACCTGGATTACTTGCAGCAGGGCAGGTATTGGGCCATTATCCCAAAGACGTCCTTTAAGAAAAGTATCGTATTACAAAAAAGGTAGTATTTCAATTGATAGCTTAAGCCAAGCACCCCAGCCAGTAACCGTGCCAGGTGTTCCGGCAATTGGCCTCGAAGAACCCAGAGCTATCGTCTGCACTGCGGGACCCAACACGAAACTTGACTCTAACTGAAATACATAATTTATTGTCACGAATAGGAATAACAAAATTATATTTATGGGGGTTCAGACCACACTGCACGACCGCATGTCTTAGGTTACTTACGGTCAGGACTGACACGTCATAAGTCATAAGGAGTGAATTGAAGAGCGGATGCTGGCATATTGTTTTCACACTGATTACTTGCCCGCCTGCTTTATGGTAAGAGGATCCGGCCCGAACACTTAAAGTGCTAGCCTCTTTGCCATTGGTGCAATGCCTTCAGAATTAAAACTTGGTAATAATTTAATCAGTTGAAAATATATCGAAGAATATTTAATTCTTATGAATGTGCATACGTAGGGTTTCAGTTATGTATAGCTTTCAGATATGCTTTAAGAATGCCTGAAGAAGTCAATGTTGGTGAGAAGACAGTACGGTAGATGCTGATGAATGATGCGCATTTTCTCCAGCCTATTGATTTTCATTTACGCTCCTGATATGATTAGCAGTATTATGCAATTGCTACTGTGCAACTAAAGCATCTACTTACTAACATTCTTACAATGGAGGTCTCCCAATGTATGCTCACAGATTTGGACGAAATTAGTGTCAATCGATCACATATATAATTAGTATGAAATTTGCAAATATAGATATGTATTCGAGTTTTCTGCGTTTGGTGGCCAAAGCTGAAAAACAGTACTTGTACTGACGCTTGTTCGACACCCTTAATAAAAACCTAATCAATCAATCAATCAATCAAATGGAACTATCTGCCAATGCGCAGGTTTTGCGGAGATATTTGCATAAAAAGAGGAGAAAACGCACCAAAAGGCTGGCATATTTTTCATTTTCTAAATTTCCTGCGCATTTTTTCTGCTTTGAATGCAAATATCTCCGCCAAACCTGCGTATTGGCAGATAGTTCCATTTGCAAATTTCACACTAATTATATTTGTGATCGATTGACACTAGTTTGGTCCAAATCTGTGAGCATACGTTGGGAGACCTCCATTGTTAGTTAAAATCTACCTGACCAACCCACCCGCAGAGGTACGGACTTCGTGTTTTGAGACTTTTAACTACTGTCCCCAATTATTGATAGAACTGAAACTCGCGCGTTGTTGGGACCCATTGTATAAAATATTTAATTCCTTACGCTGCTGTCAGAACACGGTCTGGAGAAATGAGTGATCCTCCACAAAAATGCGCCCCATTGAATTGAAGGGAAACCTGGTATGGAAAATCTTCTATATTCGCTGGTTCTCCGCCAACGATTAGAATATTGTTTTCTATTCCTTTCCCATTGGTCGTAAAATTGGTTGGGTGACCTGGTCAAAACAACAATGAATAAAAGCTCTATTTATTAAAAACTATTCACGTTTATTACTACTACGCCTCATATTACCCTACCTTCCACACTTTGCGTATTTCCCAATAACGCGGTAAAAACTACGATGACAAAGGTAATTAATTTCATATCAAAATATAACTAGGAAATTATACCAAGTTAAAAAAGTGTATTATTAATTTCAGCAGCTCTGGCTTGTAGAATTGTCAAGTAATGTCTGATTTGTATAGCCGACAAGTGGGGGAATTTATATGCTTTCATCTTGGCTTAATTGCCATGGCAACTTCACCTCTGTCTTGATAACTGTGTGGCAGGTCGGACTGGGTGGACGAAGGGTCGTCGACAGCTTGGGATAAGCTTGACTCGATAAGCTCATAAATCCTCCTAAATCCTCATATGCTCATAAATTTGTACCTGTACTGGTACAAGTATGAAATTTATGACGTGGAATCAAAGGTTAAGAGATAAAAAATTCACAATACATCCATTAAATCGTAAACTGCATACCTAATCTTGCAGCATTTGCGGAGTCAGGTATGAAGCAGTATATATACCCTGCCCAATCCTTAATCCAGCAATCATACGTGATTCTAAAATAAATCCTTGCAATTAAAAGGAGTGGCATGACGTGAATTGAATGTGCCATTAACCAGGCTTAAGCTTCCAAGGTGCGAGCTTGGTGCAAAATGTATGAGCGTGAAGCATAAAATTTGAGATAAAAAGCGGGATTAATTGACACTGCTTAAATTGGCATAGCTTAAACCTCATAAATTAAACCTCCCCAGTTAACTGGAATTACACTAGTACGTAGGGCTGCCAATGCGTTCGAGTCAACTCATTCGACTCATGAGTTACTGAGTTCGAGTTGAGTTTAAGGTGAAACTCCAACTCGACTCATTTCAAATTAAGTAACTTCAACCTTTGAGGGTTATAGTTGAGTTACTGAATCTATGGATTTGTTAGTGTTGATGTGGAGAATTTAGAGGGTTTTACTCTTGAAATGGATATCCAAATCAGAAATCAATGTTTCTGTGACTAAATTATTTAGTTTTTTAGTCAATATTATTGACTCAACATGTATCAACATGAAGGTACCAGAAGAAGAATTTTACTTGGAAACGACTTGGGTTTGTCCCGTCGATTCGCGTAATTTGTAAAATTATACTCTAGGAAGCAAAAACGTGAGTATCATGGCAAATGAGTGTGTTAAGGTTGGTGAGAAAATGTTATGAGTGATTATGTGTTATTTTTAATACATAATTCAATTAAACTTCAAAATGTAACTCAACTAGAATTATTTGCCACTCTTCTCAAACCTTACCTCAAGAGCCACATCAAACCATTGGAATTTAAGTTCTACCCATTTTTATGTATGACAAAGGCTTATTTAAAATTGAAGTAAAATATGTACATTGAGCAACATTAACTTAACGAAACTGTGCGATAACTCTTAATTTCCTAAAAATTTCTGTGCTTCGTAAACCACGCCCTTCTCATTATATCTATCATCCACACCCACATCAGTTTCGTTTTTGTCGTCAAAAATCATTTTTGACTGGCAAGTGGTCAAAAGTGGCTGAAAGTAAAACGGTCTTGATTTTTTAGGGCGTTATGAATATGAATATGGACAGGTTTGTATAACGATACATATTATGAATAAATGGTTAGTCTCATCCACAACTTTGTTTGGCCTGCAGTAGAGTGTGTCCTAAAAGTTTCTCCCGATGACTTTTCCGCTCGGTTTTTGGCTCTAGCTTTTGCATCTGTGAGTTTTGTTGTGCAATTTTTTTTTGCAATACGATACCAAAGGTAAAGTCTTCTCACAGGCATACGGACTTGCGTATATTGGCATTATCCAATGCAGGATGTGGTTTTAAGTGAAAATACGCAAATCTGAAAGAAGCTGGGATTGCGGAGCAACAAAAAATATTTCAAACCCCAACGCAGTTAAAATAGTTCGAGGACAATCTCCCCATAAAAAAATGCTAACCTGCGTATAAAATTGCAAGGAAATTGGTTAGTTCTGCAATAAAAACTGGAGGAGCCTAAATCTTGGATCACGGAATTTTGGGAAGAATTTAAATACTTTGATTACTACTGGTTGTAAAATCCATAAGTGGTTGATAGGGAGAAACTTTTAGGACACACTCTACATATAATTCTGATAAAAGTGTGGGCTGTGTTATCAGAACTGATAAATGAATGGTTATGTTGGAACGATTGATTAGGCATCTACAGAAAAGATGTTTCTTTCAGGCTGAAATTATTTCGTTGGATGACTTACTAATTAAACACACTGTATTTAGCAACCTGTAAGTTACTCTCTGAACAAAAATAAGAAAAGTTTAGCCAGGATTGACTAAAAAAAGCTCATACACCCACAAGGTAAAATTATCCGAAGTTTGTTCCGCACCTTTTTTTCAAATTTTACACAAGTACATACTGGAACATAATTTTTAGAGTGTCAATTCCGTTCCTACGGAACGTAACTTGCTCTTGATTGCGTATCTATATACATATTTAGTAGCAATTATTTGTTGTATAATGAAAATTTATTTCTTATTGCGTATTTGCAATGAGATGATGCCCGCGGTCTCGCTCCGATTTTGATGAAAATTGGGTAATGATGTAGGCTTAGATGAATCTACGGGTAACGCTTTGTACCTCGATCGTTTAGAGTGTGGAAACTTTTATCAAACTGTACAGCGATGGTTTTAGTGAGTTATGAAGGTCTAAAAATCAAGTAAACAATCTCGAAAAATGTTACACTTATCTTTCCATTGAGAGGACGCTTTAATGATTAATATCATGGATTGCCCACCGGCAATTTATTTATTGTGGCAAATGATAAAACTAGTTAATTAAATTACAAATGTATGTACATAAAAATTATTAAAAACTTATGTCTAATGACATAAGTTTGTGGTCTAATGTGGTCTAATGACCACACAGAAACTGTGTGGTCATTAGATTTGTTATTCACAAAAATCAATTAGGAATCAAAATCAATTAATCAAGATACATGTCGGACAAGGTGACCAAAAAAGGGTCAGAAATTAATAAAACCATAGCTTTAAAACAATTCGTAATTTTAATTCTGATAAAGGAGTAAAGAATAAGTAAATAAAACGTTAAGAAGCTTAACTGTAACGTAATTTGATTGTAATTTAATTTATGAATACATTTAATTATGATTTTATTTAATTTAATAAATTTAATTGTAATTCAAATACAAATTTTAACAATATAGTGGTATTTTCGCACGAATTTATGGTAAAATACATACAAAACAGACGTATTTAGTATGATAAGTACCTACACAAGTAAGTGATGTTAGGGTTGCCGGTGAGATGAGTTCATCTCATCTCATCTCATGTGAACATGAGTTTGAGATGAGATGAGATGGCCGCTAAATGAGATGAGAACTTAAATGAGCCGGACAAAATGTTGTGAGATGAGACGAGACGGGATATGATGAGATGAGATGAGTAGTGAGCCAACTCACCAAATAAGTACATGTGTCACTTTTCATCTACAGTTTTCCTTTGCCCCAAAACTGAAACATAACTTAAATCATGTCCTCGTGTATTATGTTGATGCCCATTCAGACTCAATTCGACAATTAGTGTTCATCATAAAATTTAATTATCGCGTTCACACCTCCATTTTTTATTATGGGTAAGTTTTGTTTGGCTTTACATTTCTCAATATTAAAATTCAAATTACTTGCTTTCTCAGATGTAGGATCGAGTCCAGCGATACTGGATTCAAATGAGGTCCAAGATGTTGTTCCTCAGTTGGATTTCAAAAAACGGAAATTAACATCCGAGGTACACGAGCACTTTTCTCTGATGCAGGATAAGTTGCATTTCAAGTGTAAATATTGCAGGTAAACCTAACAATTTTCTCACTAATTTTTAATTACCTCCTGTGCTCATTAAGTTTCAACTTTTTAGTAAGAGTTATCAAAAGGGAGGCGGGGCTACTTCAGGGATGAAAAGACATATTGAGAAGATTCATCCAAGCATTCTACAGGACAGGGGGGCGAGTACATCAGGATCAATCGTTCCTCCAAGTCCCGTTAGAACAAATTAACTAAATGTATGCTTAAATTGTGAATGTGCTAATAATATGCAATACGTATTTGAATCAGGTACTCAATAATGAAACACTAATGAACGGAATTGTGGAATTCGTCCTTGAAACCGACCAGGCTTTCAGTATTGTCGATGATTCATCATTTAAAAGATTGATTCGTTTAATAAATCCGGAAGTAAAACTTCCGGGTAGAACAACTTTACGCGACGCCGTATCAAAGAGGTACCAAAAAGAAAAGGAACTGGTAGCAGCACAGTTGCAGGTACACATGTACATATAGGCGGATTACATAATTTTGAACAAAATAGTAAATATGTATCTGCCGTAGGAAATTCCTGGAAAACTATCTTTCATGGTCGACTGTTGGACATCTGCAAACCAGTGGGCGTTTCAAGGGATCGTAGTACAAGGGATTAGTAAAAATTGGGAATTAATTTCCATTGCACTGGACTTGACAATTCTAGAAGGATCTCATACTGGAATTAACTTGGCGTCTCAATTTATGAAAGTTCTGGAAGAATTTAGCATCGTTAAAAAGGTCCACTCTATTACTACTGACAACGCTTCTAATATGGACACGTTCTTCACAAATTTTGAAGAGCAGATGAAAATTAAGGTATGTCAGGCTAGTGCTTGTTTTTATTGATAAGGTATGACCCAAATTCACCGTGGCAGTGGGAAAAACTAAAGGAAAGACACTCCTAAAATCCACCAAAAATATGTAGATCGGAAATGAAAAATATCGAAAAAAACTATATTTTTATCCCAAGCAATTTCTTATTTAAATAAATGTATGAAACTTCTTTATATATGATTGTAAAGGCCGTGGCCATATCAATCGAGCACTAATAAATTTACCTACCTACCTTATCCCAAGCAATTTCTTTGAAGCTTAATATTTTTAAAATATGACTTCATATTCGTATTGTCCATACATTTCTTAGAATAAGTTATTATTCGTCTCAACTTAAGTAAGCTTTAAAATGAATAGGTATTCATATTGGAAAAAATGAGAAACAATTAATACTGTTCTAAACTGCTAGTTTTATATGTCAAATTGTGACGAATACTTAGCCAGATGCCGAAAATATTTATGACTAATAAAAACTGCATTCCAACTTTTTC